CTCTCCTCTCCTCTCCTCTCCTTTCCTTTCCTTTCCTTCATCTATCTTCCTTCCCTTCCATTCCTTTCCCTTCTTCTATCTTCCTTTCCTTTCCTTTCCTCTCCTCTCCTTTCCTTTCCTTTCCTTTCCTTCATCTATCTTCCTTCCCTTCCATTCCTTTCCCTTCTTCTATCTTCCTTTCCTTTCCTCTCCTCTCCTCCCCTCTCCTCTCCTCTCCTCTCCTCTCCTCTCCTTTCCTTTCCTTTCCTTCATCTATCTTCCTTCCCTTCCATTCCTTTCCCTTCTTCTATCTTCCTTTCCTCTCCTCTCCTCTCCTCTCCTCTCCTTTCCTTTCCTTTCCTTTCCTTCATCTATCTTCCTTCCCTTCCATTCCTTTCCCTTCTTCTATCTTCCTTTCCTTTCCTTGCCTTGCCTTGCCCCTTCCCCTTCCCTTTCTTTTTCTTTTCTGTGAAGGGTTGGTGGTTTCTAAACCTCTCATCAGATGCTTAAAATCCTTAGTTATTCACCTTTTTATGCATCAAATAAAATACATCCAAAGGAATACAAACACAATTGACTTTTGTCATGCTTTCTAGCTGATTCATATTGGCTTAATAATCTTAGCCAGGCTAATCAGATTTTAGCATAGGAGCTGGGATTTAAATTGTCAACATATTATTGAATTCCGTTCCCCAAATTTGGAATTAATCTGTTTTTGAAATAACTTTTAAAAATGTTCCTGGATTATTAAGGGAGAAACAATTGTAATCCATTGTTTGGAAAGATAGTAAATTAGAATTTTAAGCCAACTTCTTTTCTTAATTGGTGTGAATCTTATCCCTGATGTTCCTACATTTTTATACAACTGTTAGATAGCAGCACTATATATGGCAATAATATCTATTGTCACTTTGTTTAAGTTAAACAAATGCATTTTATGACTATTGTTGTCTGGCATTATGAATTGTTGCAGATCATTTGGCAGAAATATTTCCCTCTTGCATATTAAATTGAATCCAGGCGCTGAATTTGGAAAGAGTTTATAACGTTAAAGCAGGCTGTGTCCCAACATTTGTTAATGATCTGTGTGTCATCTCAATAGAATCCAGAGCTTAGCAGTAACAACAGAAACAAACAGAAGCTGGAACTATTATACAATGTAAAGCATTTATTCCATGCTTTTGGAAGATTGTTTGATGTGTAAATACCAGCTGTTGAGTAAGCTTATTATCAGTGTAATCATGGGCTATTTGAAAAAAGAAAATAAGAAACCAAACAGCTTGCTGCATCTTATTTTCACTAAATAAATTCAAATTATTCACTTTATTAAATAAGAAAACTCAGAGACATTCACGAGCGTATGGTTGGGTCAAAATCTGAAAATACTCGACGTAACAATCACAGTTGTTGTAAGTGTGAAACCTGGTGATAAGTCGTCGTAACTTTGAACTGTCACAGAATGAACTGGGACCACAACATTGTGACTGACAGATATCCTTGTTTAAATCGGTTTCCAAAATTCCCACGCAGCCAATCCGTAAATCTTGGATTTACGATACACACACTTGAATCAGGAGTCTGAGAGATGGTGTGTACTCCTGCTTGAGCAGGGGGCTGGACTAGAAGACCTCCAAGGTGCCTTCCTACTCTACTCTGATTGGTTGATTCATTTTAATCTGAAATTCTGAAACAACTCTTTCATTCCCAATTCCGCTTTCTTGAAAGTTACCGTTGGAATTTTTCTGAGAAGTTAATTGCTTTTTTTTTTTAAAGTGCCCATGCACTATTTTAGCAATTAGGAAACAAGCGAACGTCTCAAAACAGTTAGATATTAATGACAAGTTTTGTAACTGGGCTCACATTAGCGGGACTGGATACAATTAGTCCTCAACTTACAACAGTTCGCTTAGTGATGGTTCCAAGTTACAACAGTGACTTATGACCGTTTTTCACAGTTATGGCCGCTGCAGGATCCCCAGGGTCATGTGATCTACATTCGGATGCTTGACAACTGTTTCACATTTATGATGGTCACAGTATCTCTGTGTGTGTGTGTGTGTGTGTGTGTGTGTGTGTGTCACATGATCCCCTCTTGCGAACTTCTGCCAAGCAAACTCAATGAGGGAAGCCAGATCATTTAACGACCGTGTGACTAATTTAAGAACTGCAGTGATTCATTTAACAACTGTGGCAAGAAACGTCTTAATGGGGCAAAGCTCACTTAACCAATTTCTCACTTAGCAACATAAATTTTGGGCTCAATTGTGGTCCTACGTCGATATTGCTTAGGGTGTCATCCACACTTGGAATACTGCATCCAGTTTTGGTCACCAGGATGTAAAAAAGACGTTGAGACTCTAGAAAGAGTGCACAGAAGAGCAACAAAGATGATTAGGAGATTGGAGGCTAAAGCATATAAGGAAAGGCTGCTGGAATTGGGTATGTCTAGTTTAATGAAAAGAAGGGCGAGGGAGGACATGATAGCAGTGTTCCAGTATCTCAGGGGTTGCCCACAAAGAAGAGGGAGTCAAGCTATTCTCCAAAGCACCTGAAGACAGGACAAGAAGCAACCGATGGAAACTAACCAAAGAGAGAAGCAACCTAGAACTAAGGAGAAACTTCCTGACAGTTAGAACAATTAACCAGTGGAACCACCTGCCTCCAGAAGTGGTGAATGCTCCAACACTGGAAGTTTTTAAGAAGAGACTGGACAGCCAGCCACTTGTCTGAAATGGTATAGGGTTTCCTGCCTGAGCAGGCGGTTGGACTAGATGACCTCCAGACCCCTTCCAACTACTACTACTACTACTACTTCTTCTTCTTCTTCTTCTTCTTCTTCTTCTTCTTCTTCTTCTTCTTCTTCTTCTTCTTCTTCTTCTTCTTCTTCTTCTTCTTCTTCTTCTTCTTCTTCTTCTTCGTCTTCTTCTTCTTCTTCTTCTTCTTCTTCTTCTTCTTCTTCTTCTTCTTCTTCTTCTTCTTCTTCTCCTCCTCCTCCTCCTCCTCCTCATTATTATTATTGTCTTATGTTGCTTCAGCTTCTTCTTGTTGTTCAACTGAACTGCTCGGCTCCTACTGAGATGACTTATATGAGAACCTCTTTTGAATAAATGATGGCCCATTTTGAGGGCGGCTGTTTGCAAATTCATAATTGAAGTAAAGCACAGATGAAAAAGTGCATGTGTATTTACTTTTCCTGGGCTCGCTTTACTCTAATCCTTTGTTCATCAACATAGACTTTGTCGGCTTTGCAACCTGTTTACCCCCCACTTCCAAACACCATCAGGAAGGAGAAGAATAAAGAAAAAACAAACAAACCAAGAGATTGATAAAGCTCCATCTGAGGATTTAAACCGCGCTCTGTTCCAATTAAGTCAATGCCAGCTGTTGCCTAGCGTGAGCGAGTTATTTTGGACTGTAAAGGAGGCATTTTAAAGGAGAACTAAAGCAGCAGCTATTTATCAATATTGTAATGAAGCATTGTTTGTCCCATCAATTATTAATGCAGGAGTCCTGGGAAACAGTCTCAGCCTTTAAAAAAACAACCCTCAATCTCTTTTGTCTGAAAAAATAAAATGCCTCTAATATTATTATATTATTATTATTATTATTATTATTATGTTTTGCCTAAATAACTCCAGACGTGGTCAGTTTAGGAATTAGACCTCCTCTATCTATAGTCCTGTAACGCTTACCTGGTCGTGCTTATGAATATAATTATTATTATTTTTGTATTTCAAGTTAATTCTGAAGCTGGCCCAGCCTATGAATATTAATGTGCACATAGCTGATCTCTCTGCAAATGATCACATCCATAAACATGAAAACACTGTTAACTTACAGTAATGAGCACACGCTTGGATTTCAGATCCCCAGTTGGCTTTAGAAGTCTAATGTTACATTTAATGCTATAGTCTTCTCTTCTGTCTCATTCTTAGTCCCTGTGGATCTATTATTAATTTAGACTCCCCCCCAAGAAGTGGAGCCTGCATTAACTCCCGCAGTCGATGCAAAACATTTCAGTTGTATTATTATATATGTTTTGCATGTGAATAGGCTACGATCCAAGAATCCACAGTTGTACAGTTGTAACAATTCATTTAGTGCAGGGGTCTTCAAACGTGGCCCTTTTATGACTTGTGGACTTCAACTCCCAAAATTCCTCAGACAATTAAATCATTCCAGACAAATGTCTCTTTTTTCTTTTCTTTTTTTTTTTTAACAAATTTTATTTATAATACAGTTAAAAACAAACAAACATTGGATTTGACGTGACATTCCCGTATATGCATTCTTATCAGATTATTCCACTTTTTACAATCAATTCTTCATCTCTACATATACATTTAAGTTTTATATACAATACTTGTTCTAAAATAACGTATATTTCTATCTTAACATTCATCTTTAATCCCGACTGTCCTCTTCAAATTCCTCCATCGGTAAAATTTATCCCAGGTTTCATAATAAACTGATCCACATTTATCTTTTAATATCATTGTAAGCCTGTCCATTTCCGCACATGCTAATATTTTATGTATTAACTCTTCCTCTGTGGGAATTTCCTTGCTCTTCCATTTTTGCGCTAAAGCAAGCCTAGCTGCAGTCAGGATGTGTAGCAGCAGATAGATTGTTCCCTTGTCGTATTTTTCTGTTGTTATTCCCAACAAGAAGAGTTCATGTTTTAACTCTAAGTCCAGTGTTAATATATCCCTCATCCAGTTTCGTGTCCTGTTCCAATACTCACGGATCTTTGGACATTCCCACCACATATGGTAGTATGAACCTATGCTGTTTTACAGCAAATGTCTCTTCTTGACCTTCCAGTGATGGAGCACCCACAACTTCTGGAGGCCAGCTGTTCCACTGATTAATTGCTGTCCTCCTCAGGAAATCTCTCCTTAGTTCTAGGTTGCTTCTCTCCTTGCTAAGCTCCTTTTGGGGGACATGGTTTTGTGCACGGCAGAGTACAAACTGCAACTTTACGGCACCAGGCGTAATTTATTTCCTCTCCTCTTTTGTAGCTACCATCGTGTTGAATGAACTGAACTGGACGGGTGCCTTGGATGAAGTCTTTAAAAAGAACAGAGAGGAAGATCAAAGTCTGCTGTGGCAGGTTTTTGGCAGCGCCACCGGCCTCGCTAGATATTACCCAGGTAATTTGCCAACGTGTCGGTCGATATTCCCTTTCATGTGCTCGCCTTCTTCTCTACTCTACTTCCATGGAAATCGCAGGCTATGTTTTTTTAACGGGATGGAGGGAAGCGGCAGATGGTTCTTCTCCCCGACGGAGAACCCTTTGAATAGCCGGAAGTCTTAAAAGTGTTAAGGGCAGAAATAAAAAAAAAAAAATGAAGCTTCTCTGATATTTAATTAACTCCAACCTCTTCACAAAAATTGAGATGAGATCTCTGATGGAGTCTGGTTGACATTTTCAAGCAATGCGTTAGCTCTTCTCCGTGGGCTCCCTTCTCCTATATCACAGTCACAAGAGCAGTTAAGGTGACGGCTGGCGGTGCTTAAATCAGCAGCCAGAAAGGCAATTTTGCTTAGTTAAATGGAAAAGTGGCAGAACTGGGTTCTTAAAAAAGGGTGCTCTGAAGTCACTCCGCTGTCCCTGAAGGCTAAGCTCATCTCCTGGAGCTGAGATTGATGAATAGAGAATGAAGGACCTCGTTAGATCCATTTATCTGCCCCTCCTGTTAGACAACGGACTGTAGTTTTTTAATTTAAATCAGGAATCTCTTTCCAGTACCTTCAGGCCACTGGTAGTTTCCACTGAATGTATATATTCTAGCAGGCTGATCTAATGTGCTGTGCTGATTAGTCTTTACAGGATTTTTGTTAAGAAAACATTTTTATCCTCCTTATAACTAAGTATTTCCGTCCAGCGTGCTGCAGATGTTAATTGAATTTTCTGGTATGAATTTGGTTCTAACAATGATCAAAGTTAAACTGAAGTGATCTGTGGTTTTCTGGCAGGTGTTTCAATACCAAGCTACATAACATCATAATCCTAACTCTAGCTTGATGATGTTACCTAGTTTGGGTAATGAGACGTCTGTAAGGAAATCACCCAGCTCAGAGAACACCAAGGACCTCAGAACTTTTCCTCACTACTACTACTACTACTACTACTACTACTACTACTACTACTACTACTACTACTACTACTACTACTACTACTTCTTCTTCTTCTTCTTCTCCTCCTCCTCCTCCTCCTCCTCCTCTTCTTCTTCTTCTTCTCCTCCTTCCTCCTCCTCCTCCTCCCCTTCTTCTTCTTCTTCTTCTTCCTCTTCCTCTTCCTCTTCCTCCTCCTCCTCCTCCTCCTCCTCCTCCTCCTCCTCCTCCTAGTTGGGTCATGAAACAACAGCAAGCACAACTGCAAGCTCAGACAGCATCAAGGACCCCTCATGTCAACCCTGAGCTACAAATATTCTCCTTTATTGGCAATGCTGAAGTTTCTAGAACTCATTGTTGAGTCTTGGTTCACGTTTTAGAAATTAGAAACCTGCTCATTTCATTCCTCCCTGGCTCCCACTTTGCTTCCTATTTGCTCACAGGTAGTCCAAAAGCTCTCTTCTGTTTTGCCTTTTTAGAATAGCTCAGTACTTTCAGAAAACCCGCGGAATGACAGTGGGTGGGCTGGAGAAGGAGAACCTGACACTGCCCTCCCGATAAATTTATGGAAATTAAATTTATACTTATGCACGGGATTTACATAATTCTTAATCAGTGCTTCGGGTTGCTTGAAAATCTAATTTGGGTTACCTCTCGTGGAAGAATGTTGGAGGAACCCTGAATTATTAAACGCCATCACATCATCCTATTTTGCATATTAAAAGTAATGAATATCCTGTAGGTCCCCCAAACAATCTGAGCCTAATAAATGGTTGGTCTCGTTTATTTCCACCAAAGCGAGTCTCCAAATAGATATTTTTTCCCCCATTTTTGGATGGGAATAATGAAAGTCATGTGCAGATGGTGATGTGGGTGATGATGATGATGATGATTTATTTAATCTATTTTTTTTTTAAAAAAATAAAAACAGTTGGCTTTTTTCGAAAAGAATAGCTATCTCAACCTTGCTATTGAGTTGGTGGGAAGAATTAAGCTCTGCTTAAGGTTGATTAAGTTATTTCTTTAAACCAATTTTAGTTTACAAGTCTCTTCCAACTCTGTTATTCTGCCTATTTAATCTTTCTTCCTGTCCTTTCGTATGAGGTCTTTTGGGGGCCTCCATAAGAGGCTAAAACATACAAAGAACGGTTGCTGGAGTTGGGTATGTCTAATTTAATGAAGACAAGGACAAAGGGTGACAGGATAGCAATGTTCCAGTATCTCAGGGGTTGCCCCAAAGAAGAGGGAGTCAAGCTATTCTCCAAAGCGCCTGAAGGCAGGACAAGAAGCAACGGAGGGAAACTCATCAAGGAGAGAAGCAACCTAGAACTAAGGAGAAACTTCCTGACAGTTAGAACATTTAACCAGTGGAACAATCTGCCTCCAGAAGCGGTGAATGCTCCAACACTGGAGGTTTTTAAGAAGAGACTGGACAGCCATTTGTCCAAAATGGTATAGGGTTTCCTGCCTGAGCAGGGGGTTGGACTAGATGACCTCCCAGGTCCCTTCCAACTCGGTTGTTTTATTTATACTGTAGCTTCTGAATATCATCCAAAAACAACTCCATACTGAACACAATACAGGTAGTCCTCGACTCATGGCCACAACTGAGCCCAAATTTTCTGTTGCTCAGTGAGAAATGTGTTAAGTGAATTTTACCATCTTTCTTGTCATAGTTGTGAAGTCAGTTGCTGCAGTTGTGAAGTGAGTCACACGGTTGTTAAGTGAATCTGGCTTCCCCCATTGACTTTGCTTGTCAGAAGGTCACAAAAGGAGGATCATATGATTCCGGGACATGGCAACCGTCATAAATTGGAGTCCGTTGTCAAGCGTCTGAATTCTGATTATGGGACCACGGGGATGCTGCAACGGTTGTAAGTGTGAAAAACAGTCGTGTGTCATTTTTTCCCAGCGGCCTTGTAACTTTGAACGGTCACTGAACAAACTGCTGTAAATCGAGGACTATCTGAACAGTGATTTTAACCGGAAGTGATTTAAGGGAGAATGACTGCAAATGGGGATTCCTGAGATGGTCAGAAAATCAGCAATTTAATTTTTTTTAGAAGCCCTTGGGTGCGTGCCATTTGGACTCGGAAATTTATTGATTTGCAATTCTCCCCCTCCCCATTCTGATTATAATTTCATTCCTTGTCATAGCTGTTTGTCTCAGTTTGTTTCATACCCTATCTCAGTGATGGTGAACCTTTTAGAGACTGAGTGCCCAAACTGCAACCCAAAACGCACTTATGCATCGTCGAGTGCCGGGTGGGTGTGGCCCAGTGGGTGGGCATGGCCCATTGGGTGGGCGTGGCTGCGGTGGTAACGGCAGACTGGATGGGACTAAGAGCCGAGGTGGCGCAGCAGTTAGAGTGCAGTACTGCAGGCCACTTTAGCTGACTGTGTTCAGCAGGTCAGCGGTTCAAATCTCACCGGCTCAAGGTTGACTCAGCCTTCCATCCTTCCGGGGTAGGTAAAATGAGGACCCAGATTGTTGGGGGCAATGTAAATATATATATACATTGCTTACTGGTGTACACCGCTTAGAGAGTGCTTGCCCTTAAAGCGGTATATAAGTCTCATAAATAAATAAATAAATAAAATAAAAAGTTCAATCAATCAATTCCAACTTTGCAAGACTTTTTTTTCCCGCGAGAAGTTGAAATTGACTGATTGAACCTTTTTTTCCCTTTTTTTTGCACACGGTGGCGGAGGCCTAAAGCGAAAAGGTTTTATAAAACCCAGCTGAAGGCCTAGGACTGGGGTGATGGCGCACGTGCCCACAGAGAGGGCTCTGAGTGCCGCCTCTGGCACCTGTGCCATAGGTTCGCCACCACTGCCCTATCTGGAAAAGGTCAGCCTCATTCCTTTTTTTAAACAGAAATTAGCCTTTCTGTTTTGCTTAGTAAAAGGGACTTCTGGGCAAGGGGAGACCTGGTTGTTAGCAAGACAGATCGTCCCTGCATGAGGCGTTTTTTGCAAGGCGGCGTATCTTGACCATTCTCCTCTAAAAATCTCAAGATTGCATCGCATCACACTCACGTTAGAGGCACCGAGATGCTTCTGGGTGGAAAGGTTCAGCTGGTGACATCACCAGCCCAAAAGGATGCCCACTTGGAGGGTCCTATCATGTCTCCAGCAGGAGCTGGAGCGAAGGACGGGAGCTCACCCCATCCCACGGCGGTACTCAAACGTGAGCTTGCAGCTTATCAAGCATGCAAAATATTGTGCTCCAAGGAATCTCAAGCTGGGCCAGAACTTAAGAAAGTATCCAATAGGCCTATGCTCAGACTGTTCAAGTAGTCCTCGACTTACGACCAAAAAATGAGCCCAAAATTTCTGTTGCTAAGCAAGACATGTGTTAAGTGAGTTTTGCCCCATTTTACACTCTTCATTGCACAGTTGAATTAGTCACACAGTTGTTAAGTGAACCTGGCTTCCCCACTGAGTTTGCTTGTTGCAAAAGGGGATCAGATGACCTGCCCCCGGGACACTGCAACTGTCGTAAATATGAGCCCATTGCTGAGCATCCAGATTTCGATCACGTGATCATGAGGATGCTCCAACGATCGTAAAATGGCTAATAAGTGCCATTTTTTCAGTGCCATTGTAATTTTGATACTAAACGATTGTTGTCAGTGGAGCATCATCCTTTTTTGATTGACATCAGAAAGTACGCCCTGATAAAACTGCATATTTTCTGTCAGACTCTATCGATATCGGTGAATTTACCGAATAGGGAATTTACAGCAGAGGAGAGAAATGCAATATGCATCTGGAGAGGACATTCTTAAATTGCTTGGAACTCTTTTTTGTTTTTAAAGAAAATTGTATTGGTTTTCTAGTTTTACATTTAAATATTGGAAAAGTAACGTGGCGGCTGAGTTGGTCAATAATTCAATAACATACAAATATCTTTAGTACAGATCTCAAAGTATTACATTAAATGTTTCCCCTCTTTCCCCCTTAGTATTTACTGTCTCATCTTTAAATTAGTACAATTCTTATTATATCAATTAAATAAAAAATAACTTTCTTG